TATTACTTGAAGTTGTCCCGATAGCATACATTTTCTATGTGAAAGATTTCTCCTTTCAGCTGCTAATGGCCTTGACTGAAGTCCCAGTAAATGGCGCAATCTTCAAAATGCGTAGAGTCGTGTGTGCGCAGCATAGCTGGGTGGTGCTTCCTAGAAGCGTATTAGTGCGAGTTCTTTAGCATTCCACAATTCGTGTAAGGGGCTAAGATATTAAGCCCAGTATGACGTTCCCCGGTCAACTATCGTTAAATAGGGAATGACGGTGATCCACAGGAAAAGAGTGTGAGCGTACGGAGAATGGGACAGTTACCAAGGTCAGTAAATTTGAGGGGGTGTAAGAATGATCACATTAACCGGGACATTTGCGGACATAGTTCGGTGCACTAGCACCCACGATGACAGGTCAGGTAAATGACCGGAAAAGTACAATCCAAATACCAACGACAGCAAGTTCCAGATGGATTTTCCAAGCACGCAAGATCCAGCTACGCTTAGCGTTACCAATAATACGGCAACTCACTGGGTGCTTATGAAAATGCAGTCTAGTAGTTTATGCATGATGTGGAGCAGGATGTATGCATTGTCACAGTCGTTTACATGTATCGGTACCTAATATGCATCAAAGCAACATGCTAAAAATTTTCCGCTTAATGCAAAACTCAGCCATGGACAATGTGTACCAGGAGTTCCCAAAATTCTCATCCGTTACTTGGTCCAGCCATGCCGTGGGTAGATGTTTATGTGACCGTCAACATCTGAACAGTATCTTTTTCCTCTCCAGTGCAATCAGTTTACAGTTTTTGAAAGATCTCACGGGAATTGCTCACTCGCATACTCACCGGCACGAAGTCCCGCCCATGTGGGTAGCCCAGTTACACCTGACACGAATCTTTTACCTGTATTGTGTACTACGGACACTGCTGTCCTTGTGTGTGAAAGCCTGTGCACTAAAGACTTGTGAAAAGTATAAAGAACAGGCGGGAGAATGAAAGCAGTCCAACCACTACAACTCACCGGTCAGCTAAACCAAATGAGCTTCGGGATAACCCTCGCTCTGTATCATCAAACTTGGTCGACCAAGGGTTTAACCACGTGATCTTTCACTCGCCTTAGTCCACCGATCTAATCCACACGATGCGCCACGATCAAGACATCCAGTTATACAGAGCCTACTTGATAGGCTCCTCAGTTTCGGTGAGCCCGGATTGAAACTGAAGCAATTTACCAATTTCGAACACAAAGGTGGTCGACGAATTCCGCCAATGAGAATCACTAGTGTGGAAGAAGTCAGTCCAAGGCCGGTCTTGCCCCGCCTGACTAGACTTGGATTTGAAGATCCATATTCATCCAGACTCACATCCGGTGGGCCTGGAGCGGCTAAAATGTGTTATCATTGAGCTGAAAAGACGGAATGATGGTGGGGAAACAAACCGCGTTAACGTAACTTTGCTGATATTTTCCAAGATTCTACGATGCACGATAAACGTATTGCTCATGCTTCAAGCACACCCGGTGGATCCCGCTGCGGTCTGTGCGATAGACTCCGTTTGTTTGTTTCATCTGAGTGGCCACGTGTAGTGGGACTCGCAGAGACGATGCTTAATTCCGTGGTGATCGCCCAGGAAATCGAGCTCAGTGGCTCCTTGTACTTCCCTGTGATAGGCAGTCGAATACCCACAGTATCCTCTAGCTCGACATCCACTCTGCCAAGTGCGTGAAGCTTGTGAGCGCATACAGTAGAACCGATGGACTGTGTGAACAGCTGTGGTGCTCCATACACCTCGGGCGCGCAGAGCCGCGGTCTACTCAGTCCACGCGCGACTAATGGTGGTCGCGCGGCAGCAAAGCGTCATCACAGCGTAAACCTGACACACCATCATCATCATCATCATCATCATCATCATCATCATCATCATCATCATCATCATCATCATCATCATCATCATCATCATCATCATCATCATCATCACCATCATCACCTTCCAGGCCATATGAGTTGTTTTCTTCCTCTACTAATAAGCGATTTCAATTTTCCTCGAGAACGCTAACCTGAATACCAACTAATACTCGGACATAAGCATTTCAAAGCAAATTCCGCCGAAATGGGACCTGCAACTGGGGAAGCACAACTCATGTTTAAGCTTATGGGCGCAACATCGCGCTCAAGTACATCTTGCTTGGAATTGATGTTAACAAATGTGAACGAAGCATGCATAACATACAGCTCCTAGAGTTTCCGACAACAATCGAACGCTAAGCACTCATAACTAACATGGAACTACATTCACTGTATCCCCATCTGCTTAAGATAGCTTACAATTAACAGAACACCGGCTTCGACGGTTTAATTCGAGCTGCGAATCAAGTGAATTGTTCTCTACACAAGCGACATCTGTAGGAGACTGGTGGACTGTGGGAGCTACATTACTGCATCCCACTGGGCCCATCAAACCACCTTGTTCCGACACGGAGTATGGTAGATAAGCTTGGCGCAGGCACAGTGTGAGATAGATTCCTCCGCTCCGGCTCTTCAACGAGTACATGGCGTGTAGGAAGGAAAACGGGATGTTCGCAACGGTGCAAAAACGAGCATGCACCGAAAAGTCTGCACCGAAAAGAATCTTTGCCTCCGTGAAGCGGTGCTTGAAACCATCAGGCGATCTACTAGTGAAAGAAGACTAGGATGGACAGCCCCTAATTTCCAGCACTGAGCGTACTTCCGTATTAGCGGCACATCTCTCTTCCGCATTTGCAAATTACTGGATGCCTGTACCGAGTTCGAATTGTGTCGCTCTTACTGAACTCGATAGACTGGGTTGCCGTACTAAAGATGTGCAGCAACAACTGAGGCTCGTTACCAAGTGGCTGGAAATTATCAGTGGTAAATCTTATTCCGAAAGCCGGTGATTGCAATAACTTAGGCACCTACATGCGAATTTGTCTGACAAAAAGTTTGGGCTAGGTTGCCGGGAAGATGGTAAAAGAGTAGTCTACTACAACTAATCCGAACAAAAAACCATTAAAGCTCGCACAAAATGTCAGGCCGCTCATGCATTACCAACCTGCAGGGGACGAAGCATGATTGGCTACAGGTATTGAACTAAGGTAGGTCTGTCGATGTGATCTGCATTGACTTAAGTAAAGCTTTCGACAAGGTAAACCATAGAATCCTCCACAAGCTGAGAGTGTATGATGTTTGTGCATAACTGTACCAGTGGATCCGGGAGTTTATAGTTAGAGGAAAGTGGGTGGTGCAGATCGATGGCCATCTAACTGACAGGGATAACTTTAGAAGTGGCGTACACCAAGGCACGGTACTGGGACCCACTCTGTTCCTATTTCACATGGACGGTTTACCTCAGCTTCTTCGATCAGCCTGTACCCTCTTCACAGACAACCTGAAAAAGTATAGAGTGATCGGCGTCCCTGATGACTGGATCCTACTTTAGCAAGACCTCAACCGCCTCTGCTTGAGGTTTGCAGAATTCCGCCTCCAAGTTAATTTAACCAACTTCGTGATATTCATGAGCCCGTGTGAGGATGGTGACATCTGATCTAACACCCTCGACGGCCAGCCACTACATTCCACACCAATCTTGAAGGAGTTAGGTGTACTCAGGCGCTGCGACCTTAAGTCCATGGTAACACGAACAGACTACGTCATATCTTAACACGTATGCTTTGGGCGCCCAAAAGCAGCTTCTGTACTTGGTCTGAAGAGGTCGCCACTTGCCTGTTTTCTGCCATCATCAGACCAATGCTAGAATACGGATCCACCGCCTATAGTCTGATCACTTGAGCCAAGGCGCACATCGAACGAGTCCTGCACGTTGCTACCAGGTTCATCCCGATTTTACACATTTTGAATTACAAAGACTGTTACGTGTATCCAAGACTCTATACCTTGTCTTATCGTTGGGTGTGAGTCGAGCTCATCGTGACCTACCGATTATTACATCTCAGTGACTTCACTATGTTGAGGCGGCTGCTCTGCTTGCAAATGCCGTGCAATACACTTGGACACCAGTGCAAGCTTGTGGTGCTAAATAACAATGTTCCTCAGCCCCAGTATTTCGAAAGAAGAGTGGTATATCTTTGCAACCGTCTGCCAGAAAAAGTCGTGGAGACCAAATCTCTGCATCAGTCCACAGCTTTGTTAGATTTAAATTTCGCTACCATTCGATACAGAGAACGATTCTACGCTGGTAATAAGACCTCACAGTTGACAGCCCAATGATAATTTTAGTTAGATAGTTTTCAAATGTGATATATTTATACCTGAAGTACGATTAGGTTATCAGCAGGAAACAGGTAGCATTACATTTTTGATCAAATTCCGCTGGCGCTTTACAGTACCCAGTATTCAGTGCTCATACTATGTACACTTAAGTGATTAGTATTTACGGACCAGCTGTAGCAAAATATCTAGGTATTTGCAGCTACTGTGTAAGATCAAACTGTTGTCCGAGTGCCACAATATAATGGAAGCTGTGTGGTCCATTTACAAAAAGATTACTAAGGTACACATGTCAAATCTGAAACAGGAAATTCTAGAGAATCAGGTCCTGAAGAAAATGAAATCTTGGAGTTACGCGCTCACATACAATTAGATAGATCATATGTGAGTTAGACTTCAGATAACTAAATTGGCAACAAGTACCTACGTAGAGCAGCAAGATAATGGAACTGCCTTCATTTTGCAGCGATTTTAAGTGAGTGACTGGCTCAGTCCGGTTCTGCGCACTGACTGTAGGGGACTCTCACGACAGCCGTGTTAGTGGGCTATTATGAAGCCACTAAACGCTGTTGATAACGTTGATCAAACGAACTGTTATGGGGTGGGAGCCGAAACCTTACGCTAGCAACACAATGAGTAAAGTCAATACACCAAGGACAACCGTTTCCGCTCATTCTCTGTAACTCTCCATATTAAACTCAGATAATATATGCGGTGTTTCCGTCAACTTCTTTATCATACGTAACCACTCCAACTCATGCAGGATTATTATGCGATCTGCTCTGGTCCGATCCAAACCACGATATCACCGGATGGGCTGAAAGTAATCGCAATGTTAGCTTCCACTTTGGCGTGGATGTGGTGAGCAAATTTCTTAGTCGCAACGAGCTCGATCTGGTCTGCCGAGCGCATGAAGTGGTCGAAGATGGCTACGAGTTTTTTGGACGCAGACAACTGGTCACCATCTTCTCGGCACCAAACTACTGCGACGATTTCAACAACGCAGGTGGCATGATGAAAGTGGACGAAAACTTGACGTGTTCATTTCAAGTGAGTCCAGTGTAATGTTTGGTAAAGGGTTAGCAGAATTGTCAATCCCCCATGAACACCTTAAAATTCGGATCCACTACCTAACAATTTGTTGCTCGGCAACTCAAGGTATTGGGTATACCTGAAAGCGGAGCTTAATATAACCATGCCATTTTCAGTGCTGAATCTCAGATCATCTCCAAGTTCTATAAGCTTTAGTGGTATAACTCTCCCCATCTATCTGGTAAGAATCCTGACACGAGTTGATTATCTCTTAGGTCAAAGATAGTACAGTGTCTCGGTGATAGTAATTTAACCGGACACAAAAGTAAACAGTATGAAACCACCAGGTAATCAGATGATTTCTTTTGTAGCCTCTCTCACAGCAAAGCAACCTGGTTCTAAGCCTCCGGAGCCCACAAAATTTCTTTGGAAAACACGGTGCCATCGCTAGAAATTTGGTGAGCTCGTCATCATCATCGTTACACATAAGCTGAAGCTGAGAAGCTGTTGTGCCCCAGTACATAAGATAAAATGAATGGCTGTGGCTGTGTACGAGCAACCAGCGAAAACTGGGACTTGCTACTTATACCCTATACCATTTACCATATACCATAAATACCAAATAGCAAGTACATATCCCAAGCACAAACACAAACCACATGTTCCGTGGTTGGCGGCGTGCGGTTAGGGTTTTGCCTATCACTGTGGCCTCCATGGCTACGAGCATAGGGCGTCTGTGTCCACAGAGGGAACAGGGTGGCTTACGCTGCACCGCTCATAGCTCCATCCACACACTCCATATCCAATATAAACCTGAAGAAATAAGACCTGGAGTCATGTGGATGGGAACCAAATTTCTTCAGCCGAGCCTGCCCACACTCCTTCAAGATGAATAGCAGCAACATTCATGTCTACTTGGGGCATCACGCGTACCGAATGTACGCAGTGCGGTGGTTGGGGCTTGGCCCATTCCAAACTGAATGCAAGAGACCACGCCTTGAGCATAGTACGGTCAAAATGATCGTACACGCCGTCCCCAAGCAGCGAATAGCAGTAATTAGTGCCGCTTAAACATAGAACAAACACGAAATTAGGCGATTAGGTACTAATATAAATAATAATATTGCGTGATAACAATGACACACAAATGACAGAGAATTTTGCGCTTGTGTGAAGGCTGTGAGTCCAAGTCAAATTTCGGACGGTTGCGACGACGTCTGCGTTGGGGCTTGAGCACGTTGATGGAGCGTACAGGTCCATTGACCGGTTGTCCAGTTCTGTGGGTTACGTTTGCTTCTGACAAGTATATTCGCTTGGTCAGTGGATGTGAAATAAAGTGCCTTCTCAACTGCCCAAGATCGTCACGTGGTTCCACTCGCCGGTGTAGTTAGGGATGAAGGTCAAGTGCTGTTTTACAATGGTAAATAGGTTGGGAAGATTGGCGGGTTTCGATTTGGTGATTAGAATCAACCAAGTGTGCAAACACGGCGCTCAGCACAGTTTTTCTCCCACCATTGCGTAGATTAGCTGGACAATGCTCGCGTATTCTCTCAGACAGCCTCCTTATAGTTCTTCCGATGTATCTTGCTTGACATGAACAAGAGAAGGAATATACACATTAAGAAGTACATAACCAAGGAAGTCTGTCTTTGATTTGAGGGCTCATGATTGGTGTTGAAGTAAAACTTAGCCGTAAGCTGGCTGTTTTACAATGAACAATGATTTATGCCGGCTAAAATAGCAATTGCTTGACAACTCGCGTAGGATGGTGGGTGTAAAACCACAATATCGGAAGATAGTTGAGTTGTCCTCTTGAGCATGTAGCCAGCAGATACGCTGCCGAATACTAGTTGTGTAAGTAAGAATTGAATGCGAACAACGAGGCAACATGGGGACAGTTATAGTTAATGTACTCAGTGAGAAAAGTACAAACGAGAATACGCGTTTCCGTACCGCCTCTTCAGGTTTATGTGGCATGTTTATCCGGTTTGAATAAAGAATTAATATATTCGAAAGTAGCACAGTCTAGACAAGGAAGTGATGAGGGCCAAGGGCAAGATCCAATCGTTTTTGAACATATCCAAGGTTGGTGAAATAGCAACCAAGTTTGGGGAAGAATTTCAAGGTTGGCAAGCTCTAAGTGAAAAATAATTCCGCCGACCTTCCAGGCTTCTGTACTGTGAACACAATTACATATGGTTACCTCTGAGATTGGTGTTATGATCGAGTTTTAGCAAGTGATGGCATACTTGACTAGGTTTGCACAATACTTAGTAGACTAATATGAGATCGTCGCGCAGCCTTCGGTAGCGGCCACTGAAGACGCCCGCTGAATTCAGCCTTTGATGGTAGGACAGATTTCGTATGCCCTTGAGATTCCTCGTAACCCTGCATTGTGGTTTCTAGCACTTCTAAGTCACGCTCCAGCCAAGGTTGCCAAGCTTGGATGGCGTATTCAACGTGAGTGTGCGTGTAAGAATTGTGGATCATGGGGAAGATGGATGGGTCGAATCTTCCGAATGCTCTCCGCAGCAAACCGACGTGCTGCTTGGCTCACTTCGCAGGCGTCTCTGAGTGTTTGATAAGTTAAGATCACGTTGAATGAGCACACCAACATTGCGTTCATGGGAAGTTTTTGACAATATATGTGACGCAACCATAGACACGTAGTCATGCCTATGACGAAATTGAACAGCGTGACATTTCTCCACGTTGAACGGTAGTGTATTCTGAACTGATCAGTTCGAAACCGTATTGAGGTCACGATGGAGATTTTCGTGGTCGTTCGATTCTCTAATCGCTCACCATAACTAGATATCATCCCAGAAGAATGGGAAATCGCAAGTAATTTCCCTCGGCAGATCTTTTCTGAAAAGCAACGATAGACGGGGCCCGAGCACCGAACTTGGTGGTACGCCACACTCCACCTCGATTGCTTCGGACAAGCATTCTCGTACTCTCACTTCTAACAGGCGTCCGAGCCGTAAATTGCCTATCAAACGCAGCCGTGGGTCACCAACGTCATAGAGCTAAGTTTATTGAGGATAATTCGGTTGTCTAAGCGATCAAACGTTTTTGGGAAGTCCAGGTAATTGACGTCGAATATTACTCCACCATCAACTACTTCAGTTCAGCTATGGCGTGCATTTGGCAGGTTCGTAGTCTATGAGCGTTATTGTCGAAGGTCATGTTGCTCTGGTGCTATCATGTTGTGATTTTCCAGATACTGCATGTGTGCATCAGAGATGATAGCCCCCATAACCTTGGAAAGCACAGGGAGTAGCGTTATTTGATGGCAATTGGTTGGGTCATGGCGACCACCTCGCTAACGAATAAGAGTGATGGCCCTTCGCTTCCATATTGTTGGAATATGGTTCTCCTCCGTATTGCGCTGATATAATATAACCAGATGTGCCGCTAGATCCATGGCTGCTACCTGTAAAGCGTTCAGTCGAATGTTATTGGTCCCAGGAAATCTCTCAATACGCAGCGACACAGCTTCTTTGACACACTTTAGGCAGTAAAAGTATTATTGGATAAAGCTGAGGGTAAGACAATAGAAACAGGGATAGCCGTTGGACCCGCTACTCTCTGGAACGTTTGTGAGTAATGGAACCGTAAGAGATCGGCTGCTTGCTTTGCTGATCTCGTGCAGCCGTCAGTCGTGCGTAGTGCTGGAATTCCGCGTTGCGCCTTTCGAAGACCATTATCATGCCTGTAGAAGAGATGGCAGTTCATGCAGAATCTCTTCATTAACTACTGCTGATGCGTCAACTGGTCCTCGCGGGTCAAGCTCAAATAGAAATTACGCTGTGCCACATAGGCAGTCCTGGTTTCGGCATTCGGGGAGTCCTTATGAGCTGTCCATACATTTGCGTGTACTGCTCCTCAGAAATCACGTCCTTCTCCTTTGGCGATGGAAGGATTTCTGCTCAGACGCTGCTTTACCAGTGTCGTACATGTCCCTGTGAAAGTGTCCCAGGCGATTTCTGGGGACGTTCAGTTAAGAAGGTCCAAGATACCTAAAATCGCGGATAACACGTTGTAGTGCGTGATATGTACACTTTATCATCCTCTTCCTCAGGGTATTCCGCATAACATACATAGTCAGACAGTGGAGTTGCACGGTCACTGCGACCCAGTGGTGTGCTTGTAATTATTCCATCGACCATGAGTTCTTGGTTGGTGAATACAAGGACACCTATCGATGGCTTGTTAGCAGTTCAATCTGGTGGGGAGGTCACGTGGTTGTACAGAGAGTAGCTGGAAATTAACTCTTGTAAACAGGCTTTGAACTGCATGCTATCGGTCGCCGCTATTTCCAGGTCGTGCACAATAAAGTCGCCTGAAATGAGATTGTGACTGTATGTCTGGCTCAAAGCTACCTGGAGAACGTGGTTCAGTTTGGAGTCAATTTCACACGTAGAGTTTGGTGGACAGTAACTTATAGCTAGAAGACATGTGTCTGTTCTGCAACCATAGCAGGCACCAAAGCTAATCTGGGGCACGGATCCCTGTGTGGTCAATAAGTTCACATCGGAGGTTAGTCTTGTAATACAGAATTACATTACCAACTCTTCCAGCTTTCTCATTCCGAAGCAGTGACATACCAGATAAATTGACTTCAGAATCTGCGATCTCAAGACTTAACCAGGTCTTAGTAAGCATAATAAGATCCCGCGAATGTGACGTTTGGCGTTCTGTATGTTCGTCCAAGTTAGTAAGAAAACTTTGAGCGTTAGTATAGAAACATGATAGTGTTTTTGATGTTAGAAGTGTGTGGGTAGACAACAACTTGGTGTTTAATACCGGCAGAGTACCGAGTGTAGAACAACCATCAGCTTACCGTTGGCACGAAGCTAACGGTGTATAAATTCATGATGCTGTGCGTTCTTCTATTCGGCAGCGAAACATGGACGATATACCGGCGGGATGTGAGATACCTCGAGTGGTTTCATCAACAGCGTTTAAGACGGATTCTGCATATCGGTTGGTGCGACAGAGTTGCGGACACGGTGTTACGCCTAAGTGTAGTCTATGCAGGGGACTGCAGACTTTTGCTGAGACACCTGAGGTGGCTCGGTGATGCGTGGCGCACGAATTCGACGCGGATACCGAAGCAGCTATTATATGGGCTGCTAAGTGTGGGAAAGCGGCATGCGGGGAAACCGAAGTTTCGTTACCAGAACCTGATCAGCGTGAGCCTATCACGTTCTAACGCTGATTTCAGGTCATGGGAATCGAAGACGGTTAATCGGCGTGCATGGCGCGATCTGATCACGAAGGCAGTGGCCGAGGTGCATGCGAAAGTCCTCATGTGTGCGGAGAAGGAGCGGCAAGTGCGGAAGCGGCAGGCGCCGATGGGGTGTACTCCAATGACCCCGAACACAAGGTGTTGCAGCATGTGCGGTCGGAAGTGCCTGAGTCAGGCAGGCCGAGTGAGCCAAGAGAATGGCCAGTCGGGGCCAACACCGAAACGACGACGAGTTTTGCTGAGAACGTAGACAGAACCGGCACAGCGTTGGTAGGTACGGTGCATTCTATTAACTAACCGCGTGGTTGCATGCTCAGTCTTTTTATTTCAGGTGGTAGGTTTGCTGTACTGTCCTAATGATTATTTTAAATCTCATATTAATGTCTACCTAAACTACCTTCTATTAACTTGCACATGCCGCTTATGCTAATTGCAGTTAACTTTGATAACATTTTCGCGTTTGTGACATTTACTTAAATTATGTTTTCTGACGTCTTAAGCCTATAGCGGATTTGTCAGCTGCCAGTTTATTTCGTAGCCTAAAGGTAACGAGCTTGTCCCGTAAGTTTGCGGCCCAGGTTCGAATTCTCGTAGGGGTGGGTGTCCTCGCGGTATACTCAGCCAGGTTGCGACTGTTAGTGGTCGCACGACAGCGAAGCACCGTTATAGAGTACAGCTGGTACATTGGTATTAATTTATTTCATATGTTTATTTATTGAAGAGTTATATTACCATATCTGTATGCATTATTCGATTTTTGTTACTGGATATCGTTGTCTCAAATGATGGGCTGTTGGTTGATATCTCCAGTGTGGCTGCGTTTGATGTGAATCTTGACAGGTTGCCTACCTGTCTACTATCCACTACCTCTTCCATACTGGCTCCAGGAGACAATCGGTCGTTGCTGGAGGAGACGGGGTGCACGGTCCTTGTGGCCGTGTTAGGCTCGAAGAGTGGTTCCATGCAGTCAGTGTGGAGCGGACTACGGTCCAGCCACCGCCTTGTGTACGCTTGATTCCCCACATACAGCGTGTTTGTGTTTGCCTGTGAAGGAGTGTGGGCCGGCTCTGTTGATGAAAGATGGATCCAATCCGTATGCCTCCCGGTCTTATTCTTTCGGGTCTACACCGTATATGTGGTGTGTGGTTGGTGCAGCGCGAGCCACCCATAGTCCTTCTGTAGGCGCAGGCGTCCTTTGGCTGGCCACAGTGACAGGCAAATTCGAAACCGGATGTCATCAACCATATATATATATATATATATATATATATATATATATTAACACGACTAAAGACACCCTAAAGAAATTTGCTGCTGCAAATAGGACGTTCTTTCTATAAGCAGATCCTTTTCCCAAATGACTCCAGCGATATTCCGACTTCTCTTCAGCTCTTATGTTCGACCAGTTCTTGAGTACAGATTGTCAGCATCCAATCCTCTCATGAAAGCCGAATGCATCCTGACAGGGGGATGGAAGTTAGTATAGTGATAGTAATAGTATAGTAATTAGTATAGAAAGCTAATCAGAGTAGGTTTAGAGTTATGATAGAAAAAGCTTCGGGCTAGATTAACAATTTAGGTTTATCATGAATGCAGTTCAGGAATGCATAAAAATATGCAATCT